TTTACACCTGAAGAAACTAAGGCTCACAGAAGGTAAGGTTTCATAGACTTCTAAAAATTTCAGATTCCTTTAGGCTTTTTTCTACAACAGCCCCTGCTCAATCCCTTTCTCAGGAAATTCCTTTCCTTTTTGCCCCTGTAAAACTTGTCAACCCACCTTGACTTCAGACAGTTCACTTGGGTCCCCATTTTGGTATTTCATCGTTTTCTGCAAGTCAGTGATTCTCAAGGGGGTGGGGAATGAGGGGGCAGGTCAGAATCTTCTCCTCTAAGGAGAGAGAGAGGGTGATGGTGGCAGTGTTTTGTCCCTGGTAATAGAGGGAGCAGAAAGAAGGTTGAGAACCACTGCTTTTAAGCGGGACAGATCAGACAATAGCGCAAAGAGGCAAGACCAGTGACTTTTATTGTAGCAGACTTTTTTTTTCCCTTTTTTGGCCCAGCAGTTTTTCTGAGGGTCAGGAGAACTGAAACTATCCGGGAATAATAGGAGAGAGTTCTTTGGGCTAAGAGGGGCCCTTTTGTCTTCGCCTTGCTGACCCTAGGCAGTGACTGAAAGCCCTGCCCCCAGTTGAGGGGGACTGAAGGGGTGAGGGTAGTAACAGAAGGTTGGCTATCAGAGGTTGGCCAATCTTTCACTTTTTCCAACCATCTTTCCCTGTTTACAAAGTTTGGGTTAAAGGGCTCTTGTGAGGTGGGGAAGAGCCTCTGGATTTCTTCTAGAACAGTTTTCCACTCCCTGCCTGGAAAAAAAAATAGCATTTTGCAGACAGATCTAGATTTATGCAAAAGAGATGGTCCTGAAAATTTGAAATCAAATTCTGATGTAAATGGGATGAAGCAACAGACAAAGATCTGGGATGTTTTTGTCAATTTTTCTAAAGCATGTAATTTAAAATATGAATATTTAAGAAAAACAATTAAATTGCACCTGTTTGATCGTTTTCCACCTTAATGTGAGTATATGTTCCCAGGGTCCCATACAATGAAAAGGAAAGTGAGACAATTTTGTGAAAAATTCCTAAAGGATGATTGTGTGGGTTTCTCCTTTCGCAATAAACAGTCAAGTGTTTTCTGCAGTTAACTTGAAGGTAGATCTGCATCCACCTAGGATTTTTATGGGATGGTTCTGCCTGAAGATGCATAATAAATGATCACTCTTTGCTTAACTCTCAGCATTTATGTTATGTTACATCACATTACATTGTAAATACATTTTCAGTGGTTCTCAAATTCTTTAGGTGCACATGACCCACTTGCATGGGACTCCTTACTCCACAAAAGTGTCATACTACGTTACCATCAGAGGATGAATGGTGATGTTTCCAGTGAGACACTAACTAGAGCCATCAGGAGTCCGTTATTAATTCATGTCAGACACAAATGAATTGATGTAGTCAGATTATAGACACCTATGCCTTAGCAGTGCAGTCCCAGGGCCTTCTGGGGGAATCGCCGTCTTAAAGGACCACTAGTGTTATTTTTGCTGTATGATTTTGTATTGTTTTCCTGTCTGTGTTCTGGCTTACTTGTTTCTTGAAATTTTTCATTTCTGCTTGGTCTCCCTCCCCTCTCCTTCAGACCCTCAGTACTCAATGTAGGATTGGGTAGACACTTCTAACAATAAATGTTGACAACTGATCCGCTACAAAGGCATGATTATACTTTCACTAATGGCCTCTGGTTTGATTTGTCTTATGCTGTAACAAACTATCTAGTCAGGTTAATTGAGAGCAAGATGGCTGCCATGCCAGGGTAGAAGAGTGTCATTGTTTCAGAAGGATTCTCTCATAAATTGTGCCAAAGCCCATAAGCATATACCCTGTCCTTGCCAGAGAATACTAATGCCATACTTGTTCTCCATAAAAAGCAAACAGTGTAGTTTGTGAAGAGAAAATGAGACTGGCAGCTTTTACCCCCCAGTCTGGGCTTTGCCATCCTCTGTGACTAGATTTGGGAACAAGCTCTTAAAGTCCATCTTGCCAATGAAAGAGCTTCTTCCCATATCCACCCAAAAAAAAAAAAAAAAGAAGAAGAAAGAAAGAAAAGGAGCAGCTCAGAGACCCTTTGACCCTGCCCTGTGTAAGCCATGGGAGGGAAATTCCAAAAGGCTTTACAAACCTTTCTCCTTTCTCTTTCTGTCCTTTGATACGTGACATGCAGTTCTCCTCCCCCCTCCCCTTCATTTTTCCTTTCTCCTTTTGTGGCCCTTTAAAAAATACCTAAGCACCGAAAATAGTGGGGTCGTTTCTTTTAATTTGTGAAATGAAACCTAGCAAAAGAGTAAAGAGGAATTTTAAAATATGCACTGAATTGGGAGACAGGGTCTCCATTTTACCACTCGCAGGCTGTGTGGCCTTGGTCAAGTCTCTTAACTTCTCTGAGCCTCAGTTATAAAATAAGCAGACTCTTCCCAGTTCTGTGAAAACCACTGGCTATATAGGGTTCATTGAAAGACATTTCCTTTCAGATACGCAGGAAATTGTACGGAGGCTCAGGGGAGAAAGATGGTGAAATTTAAGTATATATATGTATATACATATACATATATATATGTATAAAAAGTAGCCTCACCTTACTTTCCCCTCTGCTCACCTCCATTCTGATCAATCCCACCAATGCCTTTCATCCAGAATTAGGTGGGACAACTAGTAATCTCTCTTCATTGCTACCTGATTAGAAGCGTTTTTATCTTTTACAGAATTGTCTAAAAAATTGACTACTAAAAAATGTGACTGGCAATTAGCATCACCTCTTTTCTCCTGTCTGTGTCCCTTCCCTTTACGATAGCTCTAATCATTCCCACTCGTTTGCTTTCATACTTCTAGAGAGGCAGGACACCAGAATTTTGAGTATACTCCCCTTTAAAAACAGAGCTCATAGATGCTTCTAGGTGGTGACTAACAGGATACTAAAAGTCAGAAAGGACTACAGTCACATGTCGCATAACGTCCATTCGGGCAACATCCAACCACTTAAACGTCAGTGGTCCCCTAAGGTTATGATAAAGTTCAGAAATTCCAATGGGAGCACAGGATGTAGCAGACTTTGGAAGTGTACTTAAGAAACACTTCCAAATTGTGCAATGTTTTCATGAGTATCATAAAGTAGTGTACGTTCGTTATTATGAACCGTTGTATTATTTAACTCAAATTTCTAATATAATAGGCTTTATGGCAGTCCATCTGTAAGTAAGGGTTGTCTGTCAGTCGGATGTTTGTAACCGGGGACTGCCAGTATATCATATGGTGTTCACACAGCATCCAAATCACATAACATCCTATTTCACGGAACGTATCATGGACGTTAAGCAACACATGACTATATTTCAGGAGGGGAAAGGAGATGATGCGCCAATGAGAAATAGACACCATGATTTTCAAGTCTGAGTTTATCACTGTGGTCTGGCTGACTGAACTTTATTAAAGCTTGTCTTATGGCTTTTGAACCAATCATTTTAACATCTTCACTTAACCCCCGCCCCCAGAGAGTTTGTTTTAAGAATATTTGTATCCTTGCTTTTCCTCAAAGCCAAGTAGTTGCCGGTGGGGTTGTACCCTTGAGTTATGAGTCCCTCCCACACCAAAAGGGGCGGGGGAAATCAAGCACGTTCAGTACCTGTAGGTATCAAGTTTTTTTCTCTTGAGAAAGAAAAGGAAAGTCCGTGTTATTTAAACTACTGTTGGTTAAAATTAAAAACTGGAGAGAGAATACACCAAAAAGTGGTTCTCTTGGGGCATAGATTATCAGGGAGTTTCCTTTTGTTCTGTGCTTTTCTGTATTTTCCAGAATTTCTGCAAATAACATGCACTGCTTTTATAATCAGAAAGAACATGTTAATTGAAGTATAAATGCAACAACTGCCATTTCTCATTACCAGGATAAAATTATATTTGTGTGCGTAGGAAAAATCAGTGCAGGCATACTTCGATTTTTCTTAGTAGAGATGCTACAAATATATTACAGTAAATGAATGTATTAAGTGAATAAAGTGACCCCTTCCTCTTCTTCACACTCTCCAGCGGTAACTGCAGTTACCAGTTTGGTGGCTTCAGATGCCTGTGGCTCTTCAGCAGGTTGCTTGTGTCCCTCTTTCTCCCTTTTCTCAAAAGTAGTGACTGATCTGTGAACAAACGTCAGTGCTTTAGGAAAGCTGTAGGTAAGGATTCCCTTTGAATAAAGAAGACTCCCTTGGAAACAAAATAACCATGCTCTAATTTTTTACATTTGGGAAGTTGGTTGCTTAGTGATTTGATACGCTAAGTTTTCACCTAAAAACTACATTTGGAATCAGTATCTCAAGGAAAACACATTTGGTAGCATTCATATTTTCAGTTGTTGACATTGGGTTCTCATCATGAAATTGCTGTCAGAACAGATAGAATTCTGTACACTTGGCAAAGCTCAAGACTGGAATAGCAGGCATGTACAGGTCAAGACAGAAGGGTATTTGGCGGAGTTACTCACAGGAAGTCTGCATGGTATACTTTACCAAAATCAGCTCACGTTGCAGTAAGCCCTGATGTTTTAGTCACTTTAAAGAATGAATAAACAGTAGTCCAACACAAAAGATCTAGGGAAAAAAATCAGACACATTGGAAGCACAGGTATGAATAATCTTAACCTGTTCGTTTAAAATGATTTTTATTATTATAAAGCAATCTTAGTTTCATATGTATAGCTGCTTTCTCATAGAGTTGTTTTCCCTGTCTACCATAAATAACCAAATGTATCAATTTACACGTTATATTTCATAGGATCGGAGAATTTTAAAGCTGGAAGGGTCTGTAGAACTCAGCTAGTTCAACCTTTTCAATTTATAAATGAGGGAACTGAGGCCCAAACCACTCAGAAAGTTAGGGGAGAGCTGGCCCTCAAATGTATAGGTCCCTTCACCTGTAGGCCGGCATTCTTAGCTCTTTCTACTACACTGGTTGCCAGTGGAAGTAATGTACCTTGATTTTATATTTTGTTTTTCAGGAATTGAAAGCAGTTCCCGAAGACATGGATCTTAGAAGAAACCACAAGAAGGAGAATATGTTTACTCCTTTTTGTGATAACCAAGATTGTCCAGGTCAGGCTTCTCAGCCTGAATCTTCTGAACAAACAACTTTAGAAAAGGCCAGGCGTATAGAAGAAAGTTATAATTTGTCCAGTCAGAAGTTTCAAGAGGAAAACAAAGTTAAGAAAAGAGAATCTATTTCCCAACTAAATGAAAAAGAACAAGAACCAAAGTTAAGAGAGAGAAAGATAAACATTTCAAAGAATGAAATAGACACAAGTTCTGCCCCCTGTGAAGCATCTAATTTGGATGTTCCAACCAAAGAAAGCTTTAAGAGCACAGAAAGTTGTTCTATCTGCAGTACAAAGGAATTACCAACTGGACGAGGACGACGAGGAGACACGAGGAAGAAATTCTCAGAAGGAATGTCTCCAAAACTTCGCCTGAACCTTTTGAATGCAGAACTGGAAGAACTTAATATGAAATACAAAAAAATAGAAGAGGAATTTGAAAGGGCTGAAAAAGAACTTTTGAATTCCAGAAAAGAAGCCTCCACCAAACCCCTAAACTTTCAAGAAACAGGGAAGGATTCTTCGAAGAAAGACTGGGAACTTGAAGCTTTACAAAATGACCTATCTGAAAAAGCAACCAATGTCAAAAACTTAACTAAAGAGCTCCAGCAGGCCAAAGAGGTCATCCACAAGCTGAACCTAGAGAACCGAGATTTGAAAGAAACTGTGAAGAAGCTAAAGCGGCAAACTGAGGTTGGAAATGCACTCCTGAAAGATGAAATGAAATTGTTTTACGAATTAGAAATGGAAAAGATCCGCGGAGAGCTCGATGCCATCAAGAATGAACTGAAAGTTGAGAAGACCCTACAAGCAAGAAACAACAGGGCCCTGGAGTTGCTTAGAACACACTTTGCCTCAGTAACACCATCAAGTTCCCTTAGCCAATTTCCAGGCAATATTTTTTAAAACTTAAATCAATAAAGCCTTCCATTAAGCAAGTCATTGAGCCAAATCAGTGTTTATTGTACTTTCTTTATGTACTGCTTACAATGTGTGTAGTAGGATGTAATTTTCATTTCTCGTGAATCCGAATATCTGTAAAAACATATAGATGTTACCTTCAAAGCTTCTGCTTTCTTTTTCTAATGAAGTTATTGCCAGAGTCCAAATGGAAATGAAGCTTTGGAAATTTTTTTTTTTTTTGTATTTCACTCAAAGACATGTAGTGATTCACCAAATCATTTATGAATACAAATCCACAGCAATTTTGTGATCTTGGAGTATTATGTCCTTGGCACGTGAATATTCTTCAGTCTGTGTTCACTGGTGTCAACAATAAAAATCTTGTTTATGTCTATAAGCATAACGTGTCCGTGGGTCTTGTAGCTGCCTGTTCAAACTCAATAGGATACCAAAAATGTATCTGCTTTCTTGAGAGTCTACCCTTAATTAGGCACATGTAAACAGCTTTCTCCCTACTGCTGTTTTCCCCCATGCTTTCTCCTTTGACCTAGCCACAGTTCCCATAGACTAGAAGACGACTTAGAGGCACTGCTGTGACCTTTGTTAGAGCCTTGCTTTTGTCAGCAAGGACTTTTGCATTTTCTTGTGTTGGCCAGCAAGGGGCGTTGTTTATACAGTTCTTCCAAAATTCGAGCGGGGCGGGGGAGGGGGAATTTATAGGCTTCTTGCCTGGCTGACATCACCATGGTGAAAGGTGTAGGATGTCATCTAGGTAAGCTTATCGTGAGCTGGCTTGATTTATACTGTAATCCAGCCCTATAAGGGGCCCAGGCAATGAGTGTTTTATACTTCTAAAGAGTAAAAATGTACTGCCTCAATCCTTTGGGGGAAATGATGGGCCAGCTGATTCTTTGCATTTGTTTGCATCAATCATTAAGATTTCTTGTAATTGGAGCTCTATTTGCCTGGTATTTTTAAGCCCAGCAAACCAAGTGTAATTATAGAATATCACAGTGGGATACAATTAGAAGAGTTTAGGTATCTTCTCTGATGGAAAAATCCTCAGACTGGGAGTCAGGACACTTGGATTCTAATAACCAGCTCTGACATTTACTAGCTAATTAACCTTCTAGGCCTAAAGTTCCTCATCTATAAAACAAGAGGGTAAAACTATCATCAAGATTTCGGTTCAGTTCTAATGTTCTGTGATTTCAGTTTGGTAATTTTATTTGCAAGTATAACTGTGCCCTTGTGACAAAGTAAAATTCCTATGGCATTGGATGCATTGAGGGACCTACTTTGCAGACCCCCTTTGCAGGCTTTTTTTTTTTTTTTAGTAGTTTGAGCATCTTTAAATCCTATGTCAATAATAAACCAGGAAAGGGTGTAAATGAGTTTATTTCTTCTCCGTTCTCTTGTTTCCTCTTTATTCATTAAGGTCGGGGAAAGCACTGAATGGAGACAAACCTGGAGGCCGAGCAGGGCTTGCTTGGCCTGGGAATGTTGGGTTCCATTGGAAGATGATTATCTTTGGAGTTTTTCTATTTAGTCCTAATAACCCAGGCACTGATAGCCTGTGTTGAAGGGGGAGGTGTATTTGGTGGTCACTGGCTTCCCAACAAGGGTCTAGGCCCAACAAACCAGGAACCCTTTGCCCCGTTTGACTATTCCTCATCACACCCTTAAAATGATCCCTTTTGTCCTCTGTACCTGCATAAAGATACTATTGCCTGACTGCTAGTGTGCACACCTGCTTACATGTCTAAAATATCTCACAAATTGTATATGACCACTAGGCTTAATCTTCCCCATATATTTTAATTTTTCAAGAGGAATTTTTAATCCAGGAGAATTTATGTCAACCAACCATATGTCTGTGTGAGTGTGTATGTGTGCTTACGTGTGCTTGGGGGTGAGGGGGGAGGAGTGTGGTGGGGACGGGCCAGAGAAGACAAGTGGGTGGCTCAGCCCAGCTCCAAGGTGGAGGCTTTGTATTTCCTAGGATGGGAAGGGAACACAGATACTTATTTTTTTTTTTTTGCTTCGGACAATTTTTTTTATTGTACTTTAGGTGAAGGTTTACAGAACAAATAGTTTCTCATTAAACAGTACACATATTGTTTTATGACATTGGTTAACAACCCCATGACATGTCAACCCTCTCCCTTCTCGACTTTTTTCTTTGGTGAAAATATGCATAGCCAAAGATACACCATTTCAAAAATTTCTACATGCACAATTCAGTGACATCGATTACGTTCTTCTAGTTCTGCTGCTATTCTCACTTTAGATGAAGGTTTACAGAACAAAATAGTTTCTCATAAAACAGTTAGTACACACGTTGCCCTATGACAATGGTTAACAACTCTACTACATGTCAACACTGTCCTTACTCAACCTTGGGTTCCCTATCACTAGCTTTCCTGTCCCCTTCTGCCTTCTAGTCCTTGTCCCTGGACTGCTGTGCCTCATTAGTCCC